ATTTACAGGACAGCCTAAGAGTGTGAAAGGCCCTAAGCGAAAAGCATTGCCCAGTTCTCACATTTTTATAGAACACCTTCTCTTTTAAAAGTACCATAGTAAAACATCAAAATGAAATGGCACAATCAAAATGACAGTGAGTCAATGATAGTCACTGAATACAACTTCTAGTTTTATGAAGGACTTGGCATGTGAGCTGGTGGGAAACTTGACTATGAAGATAACTCACTTCTCATTAGGTCTCATGTCAGCTGCTGAAAAAGTGGATCTTGCTAAATAAAATGCAAGCACAGTAAGTTATCGTCTCTGTAGTTTATACTTCTGAATTTTTTCAACTGCTGTCAAATAAAAGATCCCTTTCAGAGCAGTTTTGTACAAGTCATACTTGCAAAGCTCTACAGAAATTACAGAAAAGTCCTGGGGGGAAAAAAAAGGGCAAAATTTTGTCTGATGCACAATTACTTCTCTGACCTCCTAGGACTCCAAAAGCAAATATGAACTGGTTCAACCAAAATATTGTAGGGAAGCTGGGCCAGGTCACCTAATGAGAAAATTAAGAAGTGGTTTCCCCCTACAGAGGGGATTTCAGTTATGCTGTATAATTCATTCTCTGAAGCAACAGCCCCACCTTTAAGAGGGATTTTGTTCTTCCTGCTCCTCCTGGAAGGTCACTTCAGAACCTTTCTTCCCCAGATCCACCCTGTGGAAATCTTATTAGCAGCCTACTGGCATTTGCAATTTGCCATTGTTGTAGCTTCCCCACACTTACAAAAGTGTGTCCTCTTTTAATACCAGAAATTTGGGTGAAATCAGTAACTGCAGAATATATTTTTTTTTATTTTTTTACTCAAACAGAAGTCCTTGCAATCAAAATCTGATTTTTCTGTGTAATGGAAGTGACACACTGAAACCTGTAAGTCAAATTTTGGTAACAGCTCTCATTTCAGATACCAAACACTGACTACAGTCCAAGAAACAACTGTAGTAGTCAGACTTTTTTTTTCTTTTACTAATTTGATAAGATCATGAAGCTTATACAGTCAAAATCTGCATTTGCATATGCATTTGTAGTTACTCTGAGCCTATGGGTCAAGTCCCAAGAAAAAGATGCTCTATTAGTACCCCCATTGATAAAGTGCTTTAAATCCATTTTAAAAGCTACATGTTGGTGCAACATTATATATTTCAAAACCAGAAAGCTGTTCCCAAGGCGCTAAAAGGAAAACAAAAAATACTCACTGGACAAAAGCATTCTTTTCAGGGTAAAAGTTGTGATTTCTGTAATGTAAGTAACCCCCCCAAAGTCTCTTATATTCTCCCTCTTGAACAGAGAGTCAGAAGAGTTAGACAGAAGAACGAAAGAAGAAAAATATATGCAGAAACTCACATAATTACTTAGTACATGAAACCATGGAGAATGTTTGCGGAAAGCACTAAAGAAAACCTAATTAACATTCAAGCTAAAGGAAAATCTTCCTTTTAAAGTGTTGCTTTTCCAAGAAAATTGTTATTTCACCTAAGATTTACCTTCCACAGCAAATAAACTAATACAAAACAATGCGTCTGCATCCATGGAAAAAGTCAGCATTTGACTAAAATTGGAACAGGGAGATCAAAGCACTTATACTTGGAAGCACTGGCACAGCAGCCTAAACGTGAGTGCCTGGAGCTACAATTCTCAGTAGCCTGGTTTCTGAACCGCAACATTGACAAGAACAAGCAAAGACTCCTGTGCTTCACCATGACTGCTCAGCAGAATGAATCATTATGGAACATAAAAGTTCATAAAAGTCAGGCTACAGCCAAATACAAGGGCATAAAAAAGTCAAGGTGACAGTTGTTTTGAAATCCAAAATACTTCATTTTCAAAGTGCAATGTAAAGCTTTTAACTTTTCAGTGCAAACAAAAATTTCTTGCCGGAAAAAGATTTCCAATCAGCTAAGGTTAGAAATTAAAATCCTTCACTTTGTTTTTTTTTATGCAGGCATTTGTCCTGGTTTTGGCTGGGACAGAGTTAATTTTCTTCCTAGTAGCTGGCATAGCACTGTGTTTTGGGTTTAATCCTAGAAGAATATAGATAACCCACTGATTTGTTTAGTTGTTTCTAACCAGTGCTTAGAGTGGCCACTGACTTTTCAGCTTCCCCTGCTCTGCCAGGGGCACAAAGATCTGGCAGGGGGCTGTCCTGGTTTCGGCTAGGATAGAGTTAATTTTCTTCATAGTAGCTAGCATAGTGCTGTGTTTTGGATTTAGTACCAGAAGAATGTTGATAACACACTGATGTTTTTAGTTGTTGCCAAGTAGTGCTCAGACTACTCAAGGACTTTTTGAGCTTCTCCTGCTCAGCCAGGTGCATAACAAGCTGCGTGGGAACACAGCTAGGACAGCTTACCCAAACTGACCAAAGATACCATATAACGTCATGCTTGGGGGGGTTAGTCGGTCGGTCGGTTGCGCAGAGAGTGAATGCTGCTCGGGATGGGCTGGGCATCGGTCGGTGGGTGGTGAGCAAGTACATTGTGCATCATTCGTTTTGTATATTCTGTTACCATTCTCATTATTACTATTATTATTATTTTCTCTTATTAAACTGCCTTTATCTCAGCCCATGGCTCTAACCTTTTTTTTCCTCCCGATTCTCTCCCCCACCCCACTGAAGGAGGGGGGAGTGAGCGAGCAGCTGTGTGGTGCTTAGTTGCCAGCCGGGTTAAACCACAGCAACTGATTAAACAGAACTTTAAAATATTGCCAGTTTTCACTATGCATCACTATTTAAAAAGAGTATAAAAATTCTCTTAAGGTCCTGATTCCTCCTGAATTCTAATTCTTACAGCAGAAATATCATCCTTAAGACCAGAAATACAAAAAACTAAACACTATTTTTAGAGCATCAAGATTCTTGAGAACTTAAACTGGGATACACTAACAAACATTTTCTTCTCCTTAAGTGTTTTTTAAATCTATTCCATTCTACAAAGCACTTAGCCCCACTGATTTTAAATGTCCCCTGTAGAGCACCTGATTCACTACCTAAACAAGACAAACTCCCACAAATAGTTTCTTTTTAGTGTACCTATCTGATGATTCTCTGAGGAATCTAAGGCATACACACTACCAGAAAGGATAACTGTTAGGCTTCAAAGCAGCACAGGACTAACAGCAAAGGAGTGCAAAAGAATAGTGAGAGGTAACACAGGGATCAAAAAGAAAATAAGTGTGTCATGGTTTAGTACACTCAGAACCAAATTCTTGTGAAGATACTTGGTCTCTGAGTATGGGATGGGGTCAGGGAATACACAGTGACCTGTCCCACCTTGGGATCCATCTGCAAGCTCATGGAAAGCACAACTTCACCCAAGAACCTTCCTGACATGGCTTTTCCCCCATAACTAGCTTTGACCCTTCAGGCTCTCCTGCCGCAGTTGGATACAATACCACAAAGCCCTCATGACTGAACTTCTCAGGAGCATGCCACAGCAAAAGAAACAGGTGAGGTGGATTATTTGCCCTCCCTCCCCCAAGTAATTAATTGCTCTTTACAGACCAGCTGTACTAAAAGATAGTATATGACTTCAACCTAACCAGGTTAGATGCCTAGTTACACTTATGGTGAAGAGGAGTTTCTCCATAATCTGTTGAAGATTTACCCAACCAAAAAGGTATAAATACATTGCATGCATGTAAAAACTAGCAATCCAGCCCCCTCATATAAAATTAACAACTTTTTGCAAAAGAGCAATAATCCATGAAATGATTTTTTCTTGATAGGAAGTTATTACTTAGAACTATTGCATATGAGTGACAGGAGACAGTCAGCTATCTATTGCTGTTCCTGTGCCATTTCTCTTTACAATTTTCTGCCTCTGACTGATAAAATAAAAACAATAGGAAGGTAAAGACCACTTATAAATGACCTATAATACAAATCTCTGCCAACATACCTTTTGTTGAGGATGAGCTTAGAGGAGGAAGGAGAGGCAAAGCATGCAGATAGACAATCCCACGGCTGCTGGCAGCCATACAGGGAGACCCCTGAATATAGACACAACTTGGACTTGGAAGCTACTGTGCTACTAGAAAGCTGCAACCTGACTTCCATTACAGAAACTTGGTGGGACAAATACCATGACTGGAATGTGGCTATCAATGGCTACAGGTTGTTGTTCAGAAGGGACAGGCGAGGAAGGAGGGGTGAAGGCGTTGCCTTTTACATCAAGAAATCAACAAAATGTGAAGAGCTGTACTGAAGAATAGCCATGAGCAGGTCAAAAGCTTATGGATAAGAATCAGAGACAGAGGCAACAAAGGGTACCTTGTGATTGGTGTCTACTACAGTCTGATGGATCAAGGGGAGCCTACTGATGAAGCCTTCCTCCAGCTCCAGAAAGCTTCATGCTTTCAGGCTTTCATCCTACTGGGGGACTTCAACCACCCTGACATCTGCTGGAAAAGTAGCATGGCAAACTGTAGGCAATCCAGGAGATTCCTAGAATGCATTGAGGATAACTTCTTAAGCCAGGTAACAGACAGCCCTACCCGAGGGGATGTAGTACTGGACCTGATGGTCACCAATGCAAGTGAGCTCATCAGTGGCATCAAGATTGGAGGCAGCCTGGGCTGCAGTGATCACGCACTGGTGGAGCTCACACTCCTAAGGGATATGGGAATAGTGAAGAGTATAGTCAGGACCCTAAATTTTAGGAAAGCAAACTTCCAGCTCCTCAAGGAGTGTCAGAAGAACCCCCTGGGAAACTGTCCTCAGGGACAGTGGAACAGAACAGAGCTGGCAAATCTTTAATGCTGTGTTCCATAGAGCACAAGATATTTCAGTCCCCAGGTGTAAGAAATCAGGCAAGGAAGGGAAGAGACCAGCATGGCTGCATTGAGTCATGCTGGTCAAGCTAAAGAATAAGAGGGGACTGCACAGACAGCGGAAGTAGGGACAGATATCCTGGGAAGAGTGTAGGGACACTGCCCGGTTGTGTAGGGAGGGGGTCAGGAGAGCCAAGGTGCGGCTGGAGCTGAATTTGGCAGGGGATGCAAAGAATAACAAGAAGGGCTTCTGCAGGTATGTCAACCAGAAAAGGAAGGTTAAAGAAAGCGTACACCCCCCCCGCCCCTATGAACAAGAATGGTGACCTAGTATCAACAGATTAAGAGAAATGAGGTACTCAAGTTTTTTGCCTCAGTCTTCACTGGCAACCTCTCTCCTCACCCCTCCTGAGTCGATGGACCACAAGATGGGGACCAGGGGGGTAAAGCCCCTCCCACTGTAAGGGAAGATCAGGTTCATGACCACCTGAAGGACCTGAACACACATAAGTCCATGGGACCTGATGAGATACATCCCAGAGTCCTGAGGGAATTGGCTGATGTAGTTCCCAAGCCACTCTCCATGCTGTTTGAAAAGTCATGGCAGTCAGGTGAAGTCCCTGGGGACTGGAAGAAGGGAAAGATTGTGCTGATTTTCAAAAAGGGTAAGAAAGAGGACCCCGGGAACTACCAGCCTGTGAGCCTCACCTCTGTGCCTGGGAAGATCATGGAACAAATCCTCTTAGAATCTATGCTAAAGCACATAGAGGACAGGGAGGTTAATTTGAGATAGCCAGCATGGCTTCAACAAGGTCAAGTCTTGACTGACGAGCCTAGTGGCCTTCTATGATGGAGTGACTGCATCAGTGGACAAGGGAAAACCAATGGACGTCCTCTATCTGGACTTCTGCAAAGCCTTTGACACGGTCCCCACAACATCCTTCTCTCTAAATTGGGGAGATGTGGATTTGATGAGTGGACTGTTCAGTGGATAAGGAATTGGTTGGATGGTCGCATCCAGAGGGTAGTGGTCAATGGCTCGATGTCCAGATGGTGGCAAGTGGTGTCCCTCACAGGTCTGTACTGTGACTATTCATCAATGACCTAGACAGTGAGATTGAGTGCACCCTCAGCAAGTTTGCAGATGAGACCAAGCTGAGGGGTGCAGTTGACACACCAGAAGGAGGGGATGTCATCCAAACAGACCTGGACAAGCTGAAGAGGTGGGCCTGTGTGAACCTCATGAGGTTCAATGAGGCCAGGTACAAGGTCCTGCACCTGGGCTGGGGCAAGGGCTGGTATCAATACAGGCTGGGGATGAAGGGATTGAGAGCAGCCCTGCCGAGAGGGACTTGGGGGGGCTGGGGGGTGAAAAGCTGAGCCAGCAATGTGCGCTGGCAGCCCAGAAGGCCAACTGTACCCTGGGCTGTGTCAAAAACAGCACAGACAGCAGTTCAAGGGAGGTGATTCCGCCCCTCTACTCTGCTCTGGTGAGGCCTCACCTAGAGTACTGCGTCCAGCTCTGGAGCCCTCAGCACAAGAAGGACATGGAACTGTTGGAGTGAGTCCAGAGGAGGGTTACAAAAATGATATGAGGGCTGGAGCACCTCTCCTATGAGGACAGGCTGAGAGAGTTGGGGTTGTTCAGCCTGGAGAAGAGAAGGCTGTGGGGAGACCTGATTGCGGCCTTTCAGTACTTAAAGGGGGTCTATAGGAAAGATTGGGAAAATCTTTTTAGCAAGGCCTGTTGTTATAGGACAAGGGGTAATGTTTTTAAACTAAACCAGGGTAGGTTTAGACTGGATATAAGGAAGAAATTCTTTACAATGAGGGTGGTGAAACACTGGCACAGGTTGCCCAGAGAGGTAGTGGAGGCCCCATCCCTGGAAGCATTCAAGGCCAGGTTGGACGGGGCTCTGAGCAACCTGATCTAGTTAGTGGTGTCCTTGCTCCTGCAGGGGGGTTGGACTAGATGACCTCTAGGGGTCCCTTCCAACCCAAAGCATTCAATGATTCATCAGAAGCCTTTGACTTCTCATCAGAAAAAGTTCTGACACTATCTTGTGCATACATACAATTGTGCCAGTGTCAGTATGCCTGTACTGGCAACACCTCTCCTACACACCTGCTTGTATAGCAGAAAAGGGTACATTCAGACACATAGTGAGTTCATCTTCTAAAAGACGTAAGTTTCTTGGCTTACACATAGATACACTGAACTGTCAATAAAAGTATAGCTTGCATTATCTAGTCTTTATATAGGTTTATGTTTTTCTTTGTTGTATTTCATTCTACTAGGACTGCGCTCAGTCATAAAACACAATCATTTCCTCCTTAATCCAGACCTCTTATTTTAGAGCAGGAGAACTCCCAGGTGTGATTGCTATTCAGAGCATCTTTTCCACTTGAGTATTTCTCAAATCCAGCAGATTTGGCCTGTCCCATGATCAATAAAACTGTTTTATCTTTTGCTACTGACATTACAGTGTTTCCTTTTCATGCTTATGTCTACAAAGGGAGTTAACTAAATTCAGTTAATTCAATTAATATATAATATAATTAATTCAATTAATATAAGCGGTTGCAATTCCAGGACTACTATGACCCTAAAGGGACTGGTAATCAGCACTATGTTCACATTGCTATAAGATGCATGTCAGACTAAGCAAGGACAGTCCTATTCCTCTTACACTACTCTAGACAATATTGCATCCTGGTTTCTCAGTCCTTATATAGCACAAGAGTGAGAAAAATCCCTTGAGGATTTGTGAGCAGAACAGAACCGCTATTTCAACTGACACAAATATACATCACACTCCCTCTAACGATGCTCTGTTAACCTGATGCATCTTCTCTCTCCTTTTCTTTCTGGACTGCAGATTGACTGGTTCAGTCAATCTCATGAAACTACTGAAAAAGTATATATTTTTCATTTGCCTTGAATGACGGCATGTGATACTGGCTTTCAGTTCAGCTGGAGGCAGAATCTGTGCAAACTAAGATACACCAGAAAGAAGAACATGCAAATAGTAGCTGAAGGAGCCACAGAGTATCTGGACTGAGTCAGCATCTTCTCTCCTTCTCACCAATTCCAGTGAATTTCCTTCAAGTCACTCATGGCTTACTATCAGACACTCAAAGCAAAGATCAGGCATCAGAAAAAGCAAAAAGTCATTTTTACAGTGGGAAAACAAGAAGCTACAGTTTAGTCAATGCCTTGCAGGCTTCTGGAGTATGTAGAGGTTAGAGTATCAGAGAAGTTCCTGAGAGGAGCTAAGCATTAAGCATGCATGGCACATCACTGTAATTTATACAACAAAAAAATATTTGCAGTATCCCATAGTATCCATATATCATAGCTTTGTACTATAGCATAGTACAGCAGACTTATTGGACTCAACTCACTAATGACCTAGGACCACATGTACTTCAGGTACAATGCAAATACACACTTTCTTGTATTAATTCTTGTATATTTCTTGTATATTCAGTCTGAGGAGGTGAACAGAGACCAAAGAAACAGCAATTGGCAAGAACCAAACCTACCCTATTACACTAAGTCTTCTCTTGTAAACAACCCCTTTTTCACAAGCACTAATTAAATAGCAGCAGCATCAAATACTGCTTCCAAGTTTGTGGAAAAGAGCAAAATCCAAAGAAAATAGTACCTGAGTCCTGCAGTCCACAGTTGAAAAAGAACATAGCTATCAGGAGAAAATGATGGACCACAAAGAAAAGACCATACATGTGATGGAGGTTATCAGGGCTGCTCACCTATGACACTACATTAAGGTCTTCATCTACTTCATCACCGCATGTATAGAGGTCATGGATCATATTTATTCTCCCTTTGCCAAAAACACCAAGAGAGATTAACTTTGAAAATTAAACCAAATCTTTCCATAAACCTATTTTGTGCTGCATGCTACTCTTTTAAAGTGGACTAAGGGAAAAGGCAGAGACTCAAAATGCTTCAGCTGTGTGGCTCACCAGCAGTCCTTTTGCTGAGGACAAGTTTTTGCATGGGGGAACTCAGCCTTTGCCACAATAGCTTTTATTGTCCCAGGAGCTTTCAGGAATCAGTCCCTACAAAGCAGCCCGGACAATAATACATGATCAAGAAGCAACTTCAACAAGGAATCATTACTGAAATAGCTTCTCTTTCCTGTTAGAGAAAAACTTTTAGAAATGAAATTTACTCCCTCCTTTTAAATTAATCACACTACAAAACGTACATAAATTCAACAAAATTCTACATAAATTTATAAACAAAGGCTTGTTGCTCTCCCTTTTACACTGTGTTTACTAATTGCTTCCACTTCCAAGACGCTGGCAGTGTTTTAAATTCCGTGAGAAGTCTACAGACATGTTTGCAGCATTGGGGCAGTAACACTTACCTGATGCACTTCTCTGCTTTCCTGAAGTTCCACAGTGGCAGATCTGGCTTTCATTTTGCTGCAAAAATTCATTGATAGTTTTCTCTGAAGTGGAAGAAGAAGAACCGGTTTGTACAGGAATGGGTTAAAGAGAAATCTGAAGTTATCTCATCTAGCTGTTTCCAAGAGAGCCTAATTTTTCTGTTGGCTTGATTCCCTCAAGTTGTTATTGCCTTACTATCAACATCACAACATCCCTCCCTAAAGCACATACATACACTACTTTGGGTAATTGGTACAACAAAGACCTTTTCCCAAAGGACCCTGAAGTACTTGGCAATAAATTGGACTTCGGAAACATCATTTTTTCTAAATGATAACCACAACTCAAACCTCTGAACACAAACCTCTGTAGCACAGCAATCTAACAGTAAGAGTAATTTGGCTGGTCTGTGTTATCTAACAGTTATTTTTCACTGGCTAAAAACATGGAGCTGCACTGCAGCAAAGAAACTCCCTCTTTTTTACTTACTCTTTTTCCATTTAAAGTATTTCTAAGTCTGCACTGGACTTTGGATTTCATTTATATTTCATGCTGCTCAACTATCTGGTCTTTCACTAGAGGACAAGGAGAAAGTGTTTTTATCTTGTAGAAACCTAAACAGAATCAGCTAACCTACATCTTCTGCCAAAACAAACAAGATCTCACAAACATTCCCAAATACAAACAAGTTCTTCTAATACACACCCGTGAGTACCCAATTTACGATTATTCTAAGGGATTAAATCATAGAATGAAATCTGTGTACGATCTGGATTTAAAAGC